TTGTAGGGACTATGTTGTAGGCTTGTGGTAGGCTGTTCTACTAGAAAACCACATGTCCAGGTAGAGAGGAGAAACTGGAACAACCCTCATCCATCCAGAGAATGAAGCTCAGCTTCCAGTGACTCTAAGCCCCTAGACATAGTTAAGAATGGGAGGTTAGAACCCCAAGTATGCTTTCATAACAGGACATTTCCCTCCCAGGAATTACCAACCCACCATGTTCTGTTCTCTTACAGGGCAGAGAACGAATGTGGGTTCTGGGAGAGCAAAAAGGGAAGAAATGTGGACAGTCTCCCAGCATAGGGCTCCAAAGTGGGTGGATATCAAGAGAACATGTTTGGGTTTATCAGTGAGGTGAGCACAGGCACACTAGCCAGAGTGTGTGTATGCCTGTGAGTTTGTGTGCCTGAGTGTGTGTGTACCACTCTGTCCCATGTTGAAAACATTTCCATAAATATTGTCATACTTCAAGAATCTACTCTGCTCCTGGTCCTTCCTCCCCCAACCTCCTACCCTTATTCTCCCTCTTTCTCAACCTCTCTTCCATTCTCTCTCTTCTTTGTTTTTCTCCTCATCTCTTATCTCTGTGTCTTCCTCCCTATCCTTCCTCTTTTTCTTCTCCCTTCTCTTCCTTTCCCTGCTTCCTTCCTTCCTCCCTCCCTTCCTTCCTCCCTCCCTTCCTTCCTTCCTTTCTTTCTTTCTTTCTTTCTTTCTTTCTTTCTCCTCCTCCTCCTCATTATTATTATTATTATTATTATTATTATTATTATTATTATCACTGAGAAAGGCTCTCAATAGACAGTCCTGGCTGGCCTAGAGCTCTCTATGCAGGACAGACTATGAGATTAAATGAGCAAAACAGCAGGCCTGGCCTTTTTATTTCCTTCCTTCCTTTCTGTCCCCTACTTCTTCTCCTTGGGATATGGTCTCTCTGTAGCCCAGGGTGGTCTGGAGCTCATGATAATCCTCCTGCCTCAGCTCCCCAAGTTCTAGGATTAGGCATGCACCATCACCTCTAGGTCTACCGTACTCTTTTCTTACTATTGCTTCTGTCCTCATTCCTTCTAAGTCGTTCCAGGCCTTACCTGTGTTGACCAAGTCTCCACTTCTCACAACTGATGATCTGGGTGTGCTGAGCAGGTGCAGTCATCTCCATTTTGTCCCTGCTCTCTAGATCTATGTGAGATCATGGGACCAAAAGTCTGGCCCGAAAGGTGCTGATGGTTTCTAAGATCCCCCGGTGCCTTGTGCTTTCAGGGCTGCTGCTTTGGTCTGGGGTACAGCACCTGGCTACAGAAAGCAGCAATTCCTCTCTGCCTCTTCACTCACAGAACTGCTTTCTGGATTAAACGGGTCCTGTAGTTCATGGTGAACCACCAGAAGTGACCCAAGAACCAGCTTTTAGAACATGTTGGTCAAGCCTGGCTTGCTTGTAATGTACTTAGTATTTCTGTGGTTCTGTCTACTTTATTCATGGTACTGAGCCCACAGGTTTAAAAAAAGGAAACTTATGGTTTGTGACTCATCCTGGGACCAAGGAAAAAGTCAGAGGAAACATGAAGGGCTCTACCTGGATAGCCAGTGTTTCCTATTTACACAGCCAATACTGAAAGGAATGAGAAATGGCAGCAACTGAGAGGAAAAAGGACTGGTGTGGCTTGAAAACTCTAGAAGGTAAAGACAAATTAGCCAAGAATATGAGGGACCAAAAAATGAACTTCTCATGTGGGATGAGGCGTCAGGGAAAGGAATGGCTGTAAATATCTAGTATGGCCTCATGAAGACTTACAGTAAATAACGACAGCATATTCCTGCATGCTCCACAACCCCCAACCTGCCTCCTATGTTGGAGGGTGTATAAGCTAAGTTTTCTCTCCCCTTAGCTTTCTTATTATCTGTACAAGGATTATAAGTGTTGCTGGAAAGTTCAGTGTTCTTGCTGCAGTGTATTTTGATGAGAGTCACTGTTACTAAGGATGTTGTCAAAAGAACAGTTAACATCACTCAGAGACGTGCAATGTGCCTTTGGCTTAAGGATGGAGACATTAGCATTTGGGACTTTGTGTTCTTCCGTTGCGGGGAGGTTATCTAGATTAAGTTCACTGAGGTGGAAAGACCTCTCTTACCTATGTGGGATGCTACTTCACAGGCTGGGGCCCTGCGCTAAACAAAAAAGGAGGAGGTGTGTGGGGGAGAAGGGACATGCCTTACTCTCTGCTTCTTGGTGGGGGAGGCAGTGTGAGCAAGTCTCAAGTTCTGAGTACCATGACTTTTGTCTATGATAGACTATGCCCTCAACCCATGAGTCAAACTGAAACCCATTCTCTCTTAAGTTGTCTCTTGTCCTGAGAAAAGTAACTAAGACAACAGCTTTTGCAAATATGTTCTACTTTTATTATGGCAAAATTTACATAAGTGTTGGTATGTATTTTAAAAGTTGCCAGAAGCAGACCTTCACAAAGAAACTCATTTGGAGGTCAATGTAGATTCAAACCGCTGTTCTCTGAGATGACAGCTACTTTGTGACAGTGGTATCTGGATTAAATGGACATATGTGACCTGCAGACTCAGAATCTCTCATCTCTCTTCCTCCCTAAGAGCAGTTACCAGCTACAGATCTTAGAATTTCGTGTATAATATATCTCAATGGTTTTAAGTATAAGATACTCAATTGATTCATCAAGAGAACATGACTAAGTTCAGCCCCCAGTAACATAAAAAATACATTCATCAAGCTGTGCACTCACCCTCCAGCTCTGTTGTTCATCATGTAAAACTGAAACATTATAGTTAATATGCAATAACTTCTCACTCCTTCCTCCAGTCACTGGCAACCTCCACTCTAGTCTCTGTCTCTACGATTTTGAAAACTCTGCTCGTGGCTGGCTTATTTCCTCTAGCACCATGACCTTCAGGCTCATCAATGTTGCTTCTTTTTAAGTGTGGTTAAAAGTATAGACCATATAAGCCTCTCCATTTGTCTGCTAACTCTGCCAGTGGGTACTTGGGTTGCTTCTGTTTTAGCTATTATGGTTAATGATCGGCAATCTGTTTATAGGGAAACAGGTCGACCATACCTGAACTGAACAAAAATCTGTTTCTTTGTGGAAGACCTGGTGGCAAGGAGGAAGGAAGTTATTTGGTGAGGTTAGAATTGTCCTGCAACCACAGTCAGGGAGACACCACAGGGAGAGAGAAGCGCCAGCCATACAGGCATTGTGAACACTGGCACAAAGATCCTTAAACACAGGCGTCTGAAGTCAGTAGATATTAAGATGGCTATACCCTACTAGTAATGTGGTTTGTTCTTGAAAAGCAAGGATGGTTTGGCATAAAAACATTTGATCAATGTGCTACACCTCATAACAGAGTGAACAGAAAAATAAAACACTTGATCATTTCAAATAATTCAGGAAAAAACCCAAAACACTTAACGATACTTAGTACCCTTTCATGATAAACACAGCAACTGTAGTTTTGCTGTATTGGTTTCACTGACCTGATCAAATAGTTAAGATCAAAATTAATAAAAACATGTGCCCCAAGGTGTGATAGTATTGAATCCTTAAAGCTTTGTTCTGATGAGAACATATAGGTTATTGAATTTTATTCCTACATTGGGCTTCTTTTACTATTGGAATTTTTCTTAAAATATTTATCAACATTTATAAATAAATACTTTCTTGTGAAAAATATGACTATAAATTATTTCATCAGCTATTAAGGGATATGATTATCCCTAAGTTTTTAAAGATAGAAAGTGTAACTTTTAATCTGTTTATATTTAAAATTTGGCTCCTTCTGCATTTATCATTGACATTTTGCCAATATCTGCAAATAATTTTACCATATTTGTAATCACCAGAATTCCCTATGGTTATTATCGTGGAACCAGGTTTGGGTGAACCCAGCTGTATTGGTTATTTGGTGAACATCTTGAAGTATATTTTAAATTGTGTTTGGAGTTAAGAAAAACCCAAAGCATATTTTATTTAAGAATTTTTCCTCTTTAATTTTAAAATAATGTCTATTTTAAGGGAAATTTAATCCATATGTTGCTAAATTCTTTACACTTACCTCATCAAAATTTGATTCTGTAAGAGCTATTTGATGTGAAAAAAGCCTTGGGGATTATTTTATGAGAGCTAAGATGAGTGTTCTTGTCTTTTTTTTTCTCCTCTCTTAAAAACAGAAAGTCAAATTTTCTAGGTGAAGTCTGACTTGAGTGTTCTTTTTGCTGACCATATGATGGCGAATCAGACAAAAGGTCTGCCTTTCACACAGAATTGTGCCTTGTCAAGGTTTCTGACTCTTGGGGTTTGGAAACTGGTAGCATGTTTCCCCAGCACACACAGCATCAGTTCTTTCACTACCCCTGCATAAACTGGGAGCACTGTCATGTGCTTATAATCCCACAGGAAGACCCAGAGGTCGAGGTCAGCATCAGCTACCCAGTGAGCCTGAGGCCAGACAGGATCATATGAAACCTTGACTCAAAAAAAGAAAACAATATGACTCTTGGTGATGTTGCCATTAATCTTTTTCCTCATTGTCTATATACTGTATCTCAACTGTCTTCACAAAGTTGTGTTTGCGGTAATCCTATTAAACTTTTATGGATGGAAATGATACTTAGTTTTCATCCTAATTTAATACTTCAAAATAATATTCAAGATGTATATTATATTTCTCCTTTGTACTAATATTTGCTTATGTTATAAATATTAAACTTCAGAGAGCCAGCCCTCCCTCTAAGCAGATAGCCATGCTTGCACTCAGAAAATTATAGTAACTATTTTCTTCAGGTTACTTTGATCAGAGCATTTTCTAGAGTTCCCGATGAGTCACTTGTCTTCATTATCTACAAGATTTGTTAGCACCAAGGACATGAAGACCTTTTTCCAGGTCTCTCGAGTCAGATCTCTGCTTCAGTGGGCAATATGTTAGACTGATGTTGGAAATGTATCATTGGACACAGTGATAGTTAAACGAAAATTGCATTTATTTGTAATGCTTTTCAACTTTATTGAAGTAAAATGAACAGAAACAGTGTGCATTCTGGGTACATGATATGTGATGGTTAATATACATGTGCATTTCAAAAGTATTACCACAATCAAACCAATTTATACATCCAGATATTTAAAATCTACTCCTTTAGTGAATTTCAAATTTCAGTAAGTTACCATTTAATTAAAACATGTATAATATAGAGATTTAAAGAATATTACCTCTGAAAAAAAACACAGGCTGGTAACAAAATTCATTCTTGGAGATAACATTTACTCTATACCGGGAAATAGAAAAGTTAAATCCAGCCTAATAATTCACATAAACCTCATGTTCTCGAAGGTCCACACAGTGTACCATTAGAGAGCCATGTACATCCCTCACCTAAGACTTGCTTGAGTGTGCCTATATCCCCGGTCTGCCTACATCACTACCAGAATAGCCTCATTACTTCTCAGAAATGGGAGTGAATGGGAGCAGGAAACGGAGAGGCACAAACATTGGGGAGGAGGGTGGATTGACCTCAAGAAGCAGGGAAGGAACACTTGGACCTCTTGGCAAAATCTCAGCATGAAATTCATCCATGTTGTCCACCTCCTCTGGCTTTATGTACATCCCCGTGCTTTTTGTGCCTTGGACAGCCCTCATCCATCCTGCTCTTCTCAGAGGTCCAGTGCCCCCACCTCCATGCCATCCTGCAGTATGTCTTGTCTCCTTAACAGTCAAGGGCACTCAACGTGGGTTGGCATCTTTCCCAGTGTCCAGTGATCCAACTTCACAGTTCCATCCCTCCTTTCTTATCGTGCCTAGCCTTGCTTCCTTTTGTAGTGGCTTAGGAAGTTCTCTGGAAGAGATACGAATAAATTAATTTCATTAAAGTTCAAGGAAATACATTGCTGTTCCCACTCCCACTCTCTCCATGCTGTGACTAACACAGAGATCATGACCAGACTCAGAAACAAATATCTTAGTCTAACTTTCTAAAAGGTTTCTCTGGTTCCAATAACAAAGTATGCAATATATAAATATGTATATATATATTATGTATTATTTTAATGTATGGGGTTCAAAGTATCATTGATGGATATGCTTATTTTTATTTAACAAACAGAAGTAGTATTTCTAAATGTATTTTACCTATTTAATCAGTTCCATTTTTAATTGAGGGTGAGATGAAGGGTAGGAAAAAGAAACATGGAATTCATAGTTACAAATAAGCCGCCAGGAAATGTCAACTGTGTGTATATTCATGCTCATGTTATTGATGTCTAAACCCTGGTGGTGTAGCATTGATGCATCACTTTAACCATGAGTAAAATGAAATTTACTTAAGCTTTTTACCTTATTTAAATTGTATCTTAGGAATCTATATCCAAAACAGCATGTTAGGTTCTGAATGAAGTCGGTTAGATGAAAAAAGATGTGGTGCCTGTCTTTAAGGGGATTTATCATACAACAGGAAAAGCAAACTCATATTTAAATGATACCAAAAAGGGGATTTTTGTGGGGTTTGGGACAACACTTGATATCCCAATGAACTTGGAAAATGCCAGACTCCTAATCTAAACTAGTGATGCTGGGGAAATTAGGGTTCCCAAAAATTTTAATAATGAACTCAAGCAACTGTTTTATTAAAATTCAAAAGAAAAATTTCAGGGTAGACAAGCTGTCTCAACTTGGAGAAAGAAAGGGAAGGAACTGACTGAGCTAAGCCTGCATGGAGGTTAGCCATGTGGTAGAAACGCACATCACATTTTTTTTTTTGGTTTTTTGAGGCAGGGTTTTTCTGTGGCTTTGGAGGCTGTCCTGGAACTAGATATTGTAGACCAGGCTGGTGTCAAACTCACAGAGATCTGTCTGCCTCTGCCTCCCAAGTGCTAGGATTTAAGGCGTGAGCCACCAACGCCCGGCCCCACACATCACATTGTAAGGAAGAGAGATTTAGAAAGAGGAGAAAGGAAAGAAGCCCAACATACCAAAGAAAGCATACTTAAACTCTGACCAGAATCTAGAAGAGAAAAGAATGCCAGACTCAGAAAGGCAGGTAGACCCAAATAACCTCATAATAGACAGGGAGCAATTGCACTAGGAAGCTGGAATTCTGGGAAGGAAAAGTACATTGTTTCATTAAAGGGATAATTATATTTCAGTCACTTTATCCAGGCTTAGGGTAAGTGCACCTTACTAAGGAGTGATCCATTGGCCAGGTGATTGATTGGTTCAGCTGAATCAGCTCTTACGGGATGAGACAGTGGTCTATCTCCACTCATAGGAAGATCCTGTTCTTTTTTTTTTTTAGGAGTCAGTGGCTTTCTCCCATGTGCCTTTATGGCTCCTGTAGCCCTTGACTTGATGGATGGTCAGTTTGTGACCTTCAGATTGTAGAATTAAACATAGGCCATCACTGCCCACAACCTACCATTGCCCAGGTTACATTGCTCCTTCTTACTTTCTAGAGCTCAAGAAATATGTTTGGTTTCCCACTCCCTCTCTTCCATTCTGATTCACAGAGGGAGACTATAATAAAGCACAAAGTGCGTGCTATGTCCAAGCCCAAAGAGGAAGAGGAAAACTTGGTGCAGGCAGCACACCAAGGTACACCCTCAGCATCAGTTTAACCTGGATAAAACCACAGGGTGCACAATGTACACAAATGAACCAGTCGTCCAGATCAGAGGAGTCCAAAATAACTACAGCAATACACACTGTCCCTCATGTATCAGTTACTTTTTGTTGTAATAAAGTACCGCGACCAAGGCAGTTATAGAATGAAGCGTTGTCTTGGTGCGCAGTGGCTGCAGGAGAGACTATAATGATGATGATGGAGGCATGGCAGCAGATGTCAGGGGTAGGAATCCATCTCCAATAACAACTACCAGGCAGGGTGAGAGAACAGGAAGTAGGGGGAAGACATAAACTCTCAAAGCCCACCCCCCCATGGCACATGTCCTATACCAAGGCTCTGTGTCCTAAGAGCTCCATAACTTTCCCAAACAGCACCACCATCTTGGGATTAAGAGTTCAAATACACGAGCCCGTGGGAGACATTCTCCTTCAAGTCAGACACCTCACTCTGTGTTCCGTCCTAGACTCGCTCCTTTCCCTGAATCAGCACATTTGTAGCTCAGTGATCCTTGGACGTGAAAAGCACCTGTTCTCTTAATGAGGAAACGGACACTGATATTAACTGACTGTAGAGAACATAGACAAGAGTTGTTTGAATTGGGAGACTGGCTCATCCTTTTCTGATAAAAAACTAATTCTTTTTTCTTTTTATTATTATTTTTATTATCATTAAACTTTTTAAAAAATTTAAATTAGAAACAAGCTTGCCTCACATGTCAATCCCAACTCCCTCTCTCTCCCCTGCCCCCTACAACCCTCTCCCAACCCCCCATCCAATCCCCACTCCACTCTCCAGGGAGGGTGAAACCCTTCTTGGGGGATCTCCAAAGTCTTTCATGTCATCCAGGGCAGGACCTAGGCCTTCCCCCATGTATCCAGGTTGAGAGAGCATCCCTCCACGTGGAATGGGCTCCCAAAGTCCATCCAGATGCCATGGGTAAACGCTGATCTATTGCCTGAGGCCCCAAAGAATGCAGATGCCTCCTCACTGACCCCCAATTTCAGAGGGTCTGGATCAGTCCCATGCTGGCCTCTCTGCTATCAGTCTGGGGTCCATGAGCTCCCCCTTGTTCAGGTCAGATGTACAAAACCTAATTCTTTAACCACCTTCCATTGCTTTTCTTTTCTGATAAGGGCAAAGGATGTATTTACAGAAGTATGAAAACTGTGAAAATGAGTTTTATGTCACATCAGTTTTTCCATTGAATTTTTGACATCTTTCTCCCTTTTCCCACTCAATACTTCAGAGAATGGCTTTTGCATTCAGTCATTTAGTTGATCTGAGTCACAAAATGTGCTCTGAAGTCCAGGCTTGGCAAAGTAAGATAAGGAACACTCCACCATCCTAAAAGCATTCTAGTTTGTTACCCATTGATCTTGGTATTCTGGCCTGTTTTTTATGCTTCCGGGATGCTTGAGTCTAAGGTATATCTTGAAAGCTGTATATCCCTATAGTATGCCTTGAAAACCAGGTCAGCTGTTCATATCCACAGGCTTCTATGTGAGTTCTTCTGAGTTAGGACATGCAGATTCCTGGAAGCCTTTGGAACCCTAGCTCAGAAGTGGAATAGCTGGGTATGAGAAAATATGAGAGATAAACTGCTCATTTTACTAGTCAGAACACCTTTAAATAGGCATGATCTGAATGGATCTTTTGAGCAGAAGAGCAAGGAATGTTAAAATCTGGTTAACAGATGAGGAAACAGATGTAGGGAGTCCAACGCACCAGTAAATGATAACTCTGAGCTAGAATTCCGGTCTGACCCAAGACAAAGCATGTTTGGTGTTTAACTTCTTTTTCCTTACATTCATACCCCAAAGAATATATTACAACTAACTCTTAATATTACTTTTTAAAAATAGGATATTTAACTGGCTCAGTGTTAACAAGACACATGAAGGAGATAAAAAAATCTGAAGGTATGAGTTCTAGTCAAATTCTTATTTGGATTTAAAGAGGGCTGTTTCAAATTACTTTTCAGCATGATAAGAAATAAGCAAAAATATTTTGAGTTTAATCAACAGTTATATAACTCTAATGTTATGAAATGGACATGATAATCAAGCATATCAGAAGTTATGGTTTTATGTGTATACTGTTCTTATGTTCTCCCTTATTCCAGGGACCTTGTATGCTGATTAAGTAATACCAGCTCCTTGCTCTAGTTATGAACTAAACAAACGCATCGAATTTCACTAGTTTAATAAAATAGAAGCTTCATTATTTTTCATTCATGTAAAGTCTAATAGAGTTTTTTAAGGGACTTAGAGTCCTTAGTTTCCTGCTTCACATTCTTTAGGACATAACTAAAGGTAGCATTGTACAGAGAGGAACAGAAGGAAGCTTGTGTGGGAGTCTCTTACAGTCCACATCTAGCAGAGGGCTAATATACCAGCACTCACTTACTCAACAGGAAACTAGGAAAGGTAGTCAACTTCGTGCCCCGAGGATGAAGAAACAGATCTGGTGACCATCTTCTACCACATACTCCCATTGATTTAAGGTCTATTTGGAATTTTCCTTTTAAGATTAGTCTTCAGGATAGCTTATGATCCCATTCACTGCTTTTAAGGGATATGTGACCAAAAATCGCATTTCCAAATTCCCAACTAATATATTCATTGAGCTTACATTCTATATTGATAAGTTCTCTAGAGAAACAGAGGCATCAGAGATTTATTAGTTTACTGGCAGGCTTCTTAATTTTTTAGTTGCTGGCTATAAAAGGAATGGACCCAAAAGACAATGGAGGTTAATCTACATTCACTACCCTGAGTCCCAACCCAGTAGAGTAATACTAATATAACCTGAGTCCAAGTTCAACAGGCTGAGTACTGAGAAAGAGCTTCTACTTCAGTTCACATAGAGAAAAGGAAAAATCTTTTTCTGGCTTGGCAGTAGTTGAACAGAAACAATTATCTCTTACTGGATATTTTATTAAGATCTCCATCTGATTGCATGGGGCCCCCAGGTTTGAATGTAGAAGCTCACCTGAGGCTCCTGTGTTTAAGTTACATGGTCTCAAACCCATGGCATAGTTTTGGGGAAGCTGTGGAGACTTCAAGAGGTTAGTTCTTGTTGAAAGAGCAAAGACACTCAGGGTGAGTCTTTGGAGGTTATGCCCTCCCCTTTCCAGCCCAAGGCCCTGCTCCCTGGTCTGTCAGTAAGCCAAGAATGGCTACCTCCAGTTCCTGCCATGGGGACTGAGTGGATCCTGC